TTCCTCCTGGCTACGGGCTCCAAGTATACTGACTTTACCCGTAACGAACACTGTGCAACTCACCTGCCACTGGTTGTCGTGCGAATTCCCTGCCAGACGAACAATGCATCCACTGAATCTATCGGGTTCATAGCTGCAAAAGATGCCTTCGTGTTGGGCCAGTTCTTCCAGACGGATTGGGTGACCAACATCAAACCGCGCCGTGACAGAACGCACGCGGAATTGGACGGTGGTGATGTCGAGAGAAAGCGCCTTTCGAATGATGCGTGCGGCAAGTTCGGTAGCTTGTTTTGCCTCACCGACACTAGCAGCCCCAATGATAGACATGAAACCGGATGTTCGGACCAGTACTACTGCAGTGGGTTCATGCAGTCGCATCGTCGCCGCGGGGGTTCGGTTGCGCGGGACGAACTCCACATTCCGTGTCGCACAACTCAGGGCGCAAAGATCCACTCCCACACCAAGTTTTGCCTGCGCGATGATACCAACAATCACGGGCATTGTGTCAGGCGCAGCGTTGGGGAAGAGCTCCTGAATGTTAGGCGGTGTTGCGGCTCTTACCTCCTCGCTATTGGTATTGTCATTGTCATCGTTGGGGCGCGATACGTTGTGGGCGGAAGAGAAGAGCGTGTAGTCAAACTCTGCCGCATCGGACGGGTCATTCGCAGCATCCTCAAGAAACTCGTTCTCGTCCAAGTCAAAGTCCCCACCAAAGTTGTCAAAGTCATCATCCATCGTCCTGAATAAGACGAGCACAGGGGAGTTTTACTCTCAGAAGCGGCAGCAGCAGGTGGGGCGCGCGTACATACACACGCAGATGCAAAAAACACACACACAAAAAAAAAAAAAAGGAAGAAAGAAACCAAAACAAATCAAACAAACAAAGAAAGAGAGAAAATCTACATATTACTTGCAAAAACATTCCATGAAGAGACGTCGGCTCACGCGACCACACACATTCAACCACGCATCTACTGTAAAATAACAATTGTTCAAAACCTCGTGGGTCATTCATTCGTAAAAATAGAGAGCTCATCTTTACTCTTTGTTTTCTTTCATTGTTTCCGACACGCCACCTTTTTATCGGTGACACGTCCCGTTTCTTTTTGAACTTTGGGAATTCCCTTCTGAACGGATGACGACCGCAGAAAAAGCGGATGCCACAGTGTTTATATCTTCAATACACTCACCGCACAAACTTTGCTGGGTGATAATTTCCTTCGCTTCCCAACGGCACTTTATGGGCTCCAGACCGTGAAATTCCCGCACCATTTCCAGAGCTTCATGCAAAGATGCCTCTTTATCTTTTTCATAGATGAAAAGTGTCGCGTATGTGTCCCTCACCGCAACGCTCTGCTTGGCAAGGGCAGTGAGTTCTGATGCGACAGCGACGACCGATGACGCCGTCATTTCGGCCTCAACAAGGAGAGTGACATGCAGCGCGTACGAGTGACCATGGCGAATAAGAAATGCGTTAACAAAGGGTGTCTTTTTATATTGCTTCAGTGCATGCCGCACCGAAGCCACCTCGTTGGCGCATTGAAAGTCAAAGAACTCAAGTAGGCTACTGCGCAGTAGACTGTACCCCATGCGGCAGATGCTATAAGAGACACACAGGCCAGCTAACCCGTCAATTCCTGGCATGCCAACACAGTGCCCTCCCACCCCAACAAGTGCCACTGCACCAGACCATGCGTCAGCGCGGTGGTGATACGCATTCGCCACAACAACTCGTGATCCAGCTCGCTCACCTACGCGCTTTGTCCACTGGAATAGGAACTCCTTTGCAATAATAGAGACAATTGACACCAGCACCATTGTCCACAGAATCGTTACTCGACCATCTTCATCAAGTTGCGTGACCTGAAAGTGGGAGTGGCCATGGTGATTCTGCACACCAACAACGTCCGGTTGCTTCTCGCCATCATCTGAATGACTATAATTTTGGTGGACATGTTCATGAGGATAATTTGCGTTATCGTTTCCAGGAATGCGGTGAAGGAACTCCCGCTGGCATTCACCCAATGATTGAAAGAGGAGCGTCAAGCCTCCCAAGAGTAAAGTAAAGGCTACCACAACGGCACCGGCGGTTTCAATTCGACCAATACCAAATGGAAAACGACACCGAGGAAGACGCTTCACTGAAAGCGTAAGCGTAACATACGATATGACATCTGCAAGAAGGTCAACGAGGGCATGAAAACCATCTGCAACCAGCGCCACCGAACCGCCTCTCGTGCCGACCCACATTTTAGTTAGGGAGAAAAAAACATTGGTGGCTCCACCGACGACAGTGACAATCTGGCATTGCTGCAGGTGATTTCCCTTTACTGCAGACTCCAACTGCCGATGGTGGTGACCGTGATCATGGTGGTGATGGTCGCTGCGTTCCCCAACAACGTGGGCTCTGACAGAATTTACTGTGAGGGGAGCGATAAAATTACTAAGCCGCCGCCGCATTTAGTTTAGTTGGATGTTAAAAGTGTCACGTTAGGTCGTGGCAGATACAAGGCAGTTGTCACAACTAAAGGAATAATAATAATAATAAAATTGAAAAAAAAAAAGAAGATAAACAAAGCTACACACGGAAGTTTGCATGCACACGAGATAAAGAGGAAAAAGAAAGGAAGGAAATTAAATGCGCCGTTGTCCCAGAGCGTTTGTCATGCGCAGCAAGAGAGAAAGGGATGAGAAAGGAACGCCATCACCACCAAACAGCAGCGATGTCCCGTTACAAAAAAAAAAAAAAAAACAGAAACATTCAAATCACAGAGGAAATACGGCCAAAATAGGATCAAAAAAACAAAACAGCACACAAAAAAGCGGCAAACACAAACACAAACACAATGTGCTCGGGCAGAGAAATTGTCGGATAATATTACAAAAAAGCATGCGACGTTCGCTTAAAAGAATAACGTAAGCCTCCTCACTCCCATTCGACCTACTCTCTCGCCGCTCATCGCACACCTTTTGGCATCACCTCACCCACCACCACCACCACCTTTCTCCTTTCATGTATTTTTTAAATACCGTCTTCATTGGCTTCAACGACAACACCCACCTCGAACAGAAGGTCGCCACGTTTCAGATGAAACTTCAGTTCCAACCGCAGAATTTCCCAGCAACTATCGAGGTCGGAGTTTGTTCGCGCCTCTTCACCAATAACGGGGAGACTGGAATCATGGTGTGTACTCATTAGACCACTGGGTTTTTTTTTCAGCTGGACGTGCTGTTTGAAGTACAATTCCTTCAAGAGACGGCATCTAGACTGATGTTCCCTAACAAATTCTGTCATGACAGCGTACATCTCTGCCCGTGTCAACACCTCTTGGCCATTTACGGCGACCACAACATCGCCTGGCATCATTCCAGCAGCTTCACCGCCAAAACCGTGGAAGACTTTGACTATACGAACCCCAACGCCCTTCTCATCGCGCAGTTCAACCCCCAGCAAGGGAGGACGAGCGGCCATGGCACAGCGATGTGGCGCATACACCTCAATGGCTTCTAACCGACTTTCCATCTCCTCTATTCGTGTAAAAATCGACCTTGACGTTCGTGGCACAAGCCGGCGAGAGCCAGAGGCAAAAGTATCATGACGTGCGTCAGTTTTACCATCACTGCTGTCCCTTACCCTTATCGCATTTGATGCCACAACAGGTGCGCAGCCTTTGAATGATTGACTAGTTAGCAACTTTGCGTCAATCATGTCGTTTTCCAAATAAGTTTCCTGCAGTGCCGTAAACAACTCGTTTCTCAATGATCCCACTTTTTTGTCGGTATACTGCTTTATTTCAGAGAATTGCTCTACTGGGCAGGAGGAAGAAGCGGCAGCGGCTAAAAGATCCTTCAGCGTTGCGAATTCCCTGTCAACGCGCTCGGAATGTGCCGAGATTCGACGCATCATCCCATCCACAATTTCCTCTAAATGTCGCACTCGTTCACATCCTTCCTCTTTCTGACGGCGTTCTTCAAGTAAACGCTCTTCAATTTCTTTCTGTCGGCGGCGCAACTCAACCACGGCCGTCCGAGTTTCGTGGATAAGCCCATGAAGTTCCTCCAATCGATCCCAAATGATTTTTTCATCCCTTTCACGGGATGCGTGAGGTGAGACAACTTCTGACCGCAATGGGCTTTTCTTCTTCTGCCCCAAGAAGTGAGGCTCCAGCGACGACAATTTCAGCTCATGAATACCTTCCTGACAGCGAGCCGTCACGTCATACAGCGCCTCCGTCTCGGAGGCCAGGCGAGTGACCTCTCGTCGCTGTTTTAAGAGAGCTGCATGGTGGTGTAGATTCGTGTCGACAAGATGTTTGCAACAGGAGAGCAAGACGGAAAAAAGATCCGAATACGGCCCACATGTGTCGAAGGTGTGCTGTTCGAAGAAGTTCTGCAGTTGAGTGAGTGTATTTCCAGTCGTGTTGAGCTCGTCCGCGGTGGTGAGGCTATCCACGGCACCAGTGCTGGGCCTCGACTCCACAGCAAAAAGCATGACGCACACACACACAAACACAAACACACACACACAGCGAGAGAGACACAAATAGAAAACTTGTGCTTAACAGACTCTTCCTTCACTCCCTTTCAAAAATAAAAGAAAACACACACCGACAGACAACACACAATAATTTATGTTTTTAATTCTCTACGCACTCACACACAAAAAAGAGACTTGTTGTTTTGCTTTTGTCTCCACTGGAAAAAAAAAAAAAAAGAAAAGAGGCCAACAGAAGTAAAATAACATTTGAATTATTGGCCAATGGTGCACGGTCTCCCCACCTCCCTCACCCAAATTATATTTTGCTTCACAATGCGTGGAGAAGTCGCCATAAATAAAAATAAACACATAGAAAGATACGGATAGATGGAGAAAACCAGATGTTTCTTGCATTTATCCCTCTGTTCCCTCATGCCTCCTTCGTGGGAAAGTAACCCACCCAACAGGGAAATGGGAAACAATATGTGCTCTAAATTAACTCATGACCCCTTCTTCGCTTCCTCTTCCTCTCTCTCCCTCCCTCACTTTCCTTCCTTATTTTTCACCACCTACCTTTCCCTATGAGGTACAATCCGACTTACAAACGGAAAGGGGGAATAGGCAAGTTCAGGTTTCACCTTCACGGTCATTCACTACCTGCAACTCCATCTTTCATAGAAATCCATTTTCCCACCGTTTTCTTTCCCCCCCTTCTTATTCATCTTGTTTAATGTAACGCCTCCAAGTTCCTCTTCCCCAAAACTATACAAACACCTTTTTATATATCTATATAGGTACCGTTAATTCACCTTTTTTCCCTTTTGTTTCTGTGAGTCAGTGGACGGAATAAGAGGGTAGGAAGAAGGACATGTGTACTTCTCTCTTTCCTTCTCTCTGTGTATTTGTTTGCGTGTCATGTGACACATCATCTCACCACGAACAATGCCCTCCCCCCGCTCCCCTCCCTCACGCCCAAATCAACAGTCGATATGGTGCTTAAGAAAGCATGTTGTAGTTTATTATCTAGTGTGCACACTATGGTCCTCAAAGGCATACACCATAAATTCGCGAGAGAGGTAAGGCAGCCGCGGTGACACGCGATCGATGCCGCGCAAAGGAGCGGATCCTCATCGCCATAAAGCGGCTCCATGACACTCATCAACTGCGGCGCACTCAGCACCGCGGCGACGGAAGAAATATGACCAGCCGCCGAGTGCGACGCCAGCGATGCGAGCGACGGAAGGACGCGTTGTGCCTGCCGATTGCTTTGAATGTGAAGAGGGGCCCACATGTGGCGCGGTACACCGGCGCTGGCAAAGACACGGCGGCCAAACATGCGGCAGTGACTATTAATTTTAATTTTTCAAAATTCCCCCTTTTTCTCTCTTTTTCTGCGTGTGTGTTTTTCTTCGGTAAGGAAAAGCACGCAGCGACACGCTTAGTCTTCTTTTTTAAATGGTGAAATAGGGGCGAAGGAAAAACAAACAACAAAAAAAGAAATAAAACAACAAGGGGGCTCACCTATGAGGAGCAGTCAAAACAAAATGCATCGATCTCGTCAAGGAGCATCAATGCAAATTGGACACAACGTACAATAAAGAACCAAAAAATCACATGTGCTGCAACCACATTGAAGCATCGATGGAAAAGAAGAAAAAAAAAAAGGAAAAAAATGTTCGCCTGGGCTGCCTGTCGGATCCTGAACTGATCTAACGAAGTAAAATAGGACGAAAGAATGGAGAAGGGGGGTGCGGTAGAGAAGCAATGGGTTCGTCACAGCCTCAATGTTCACTCCAACTAATTATATATTTGTATATATTTGGATAGCCACTATAGTGACACGCTGCACTCTATTCGGATTGGAAATATTTATTCCTTGCGAGGTGGCACCATTTAAAGATCCTCCAGCCACAAGACTCCGCCGCAACGTGGGAATCGGAAAGAGGGTGAATGGGACGGCAACAGTAAAAATATATATATTCGTCTTATCGCTATCGGTTCGTTGATTCCTTCCATCGCGGTCCTCCAAAGGATGCATAAGAAAGGAAGGAATCGTACAGAAATGTATTCATCCCATCAAGGCATGTATTAAATTAATTATAAAGCCTTCCACAGAAACACGCATTTCACAAGCCCCCAGTAGTCAAAATGAGCTTCTTGTCTTCTAACTTTTTGCCATCGATGAAATCATTAACGGAGGAGTTACCAGCGGCCGTACCCGCCACTAAAAACTAACGCAACAAATGAATCATTAAGCCGAGGAAAAATAATTTTACGTTGCACCCAAGATATCCGGCCATATGCACAAAAAATCATTCGTTTTCCCTCATCGGTAGAATGGGAGATGCCTGTTAAAAAAACGGTGACTGCTTTTGAAAAGTGAGTTGAGAGAAAAGGAAAGAACAAAAAAAACATGCACACCTGTGTGTATTTCTGTATCCATACCCATTCGCCAAGCAAATGAAAGATACACAGCCACACAAAAAATTATACAAATACATATGCAATGTTCATACGTCGTGTATTTACTTTAGTGTTATAAAAATAATTTCCCTCTGCAATCAGCACTATTCACGTTCTTTTTTCTCCCCTAGAAGGATCGTAAGGAGAATTCGTCAAGCGACTACAACCGATAAAGGACGACCGTTTGAAATCTCCCCTGCGCGCTCCTCTTGCTGCGCTAGCTCTATCACTCTTGCAACACAACGGCCATCCTCCGTTATGTAAAAGGCATTGTAGAAGCACATCAACGCGCTGACGGTACCTATGAGTGCTCCAGCTACAATGTCGTCAAAGTGATGCCAGTAATCTCGCGTCCGGCTCACGGCACACAGGAAGGCAATGGCGAGGGGAGACAGCGAGAGGATCAAACGTAAAAAGCTACCTCCACGTGATGATGGCTGCGTATGCGCAAATAGGAAAAGGGACATAAATGCTAACACCGAAAAAGATGTTGAGCTGTGCCCTGACGGGAACGAGAGACGTCCTTCACGCAGCACACGGTGCTCGACCCCAAGCTTGCAGTAAAATTCCGTGGATGACATATACTTCACATCGATCTTGGCATACGTATTCTCGTCAATTCCCAAACTCCGCAGGCGTTCCAAGTAATCGGGGCGAATACGGCCTGCGTATATCTTGAGCAGATTAACAACCACTAGCTGAGAAATGACTGCCAATGTTTGCGCCTTTAGCCACACCCAAATTGGGCCGCCGAGAGACGTCAGCACCGCGACGTAGAAAATCAATGCCAGGACAAACATCAGCAGGAGTGACCATGCCGGGAAGGCCACATTTGTGACGTACGGGTAGTTGATCGTTGGGTCATTCCAGCTGAATGGGCGGCAGTAGGGGGGAACCACAAATACAAGGATCGAGGAAAAAATAAGTAGAAATAGGCCCAACACAAAATCAAGTAGCTGGTAATTCTTCCAGTACAATACCAAACGATTTATATCCATCCCTACAGAAACCCCCCAAAGAGGACTAAAAGGAACAAAAAAGAGAGAAAAAGACACACACACACACAAAAAAAAAAAAACAACAACAACACGTACACACGCGGACATCTATATGCGCATATCCCTGCACGCTCCACAAAAAACCCGTGAGATGGTTTTATGGCCGCGGCATTTGTAGCCACTGAGGAGCAATACACGAACAGCGGGAAATCCAAGGCATAAACGAATCGCTTTTATAAAAAAACAACAACAACAAAGACTCCTCGGCAACAAAAACAACAAAAAAAACCAACAACAGAAGAAGTCCGGAAAAGTAATAAAGCACAGTTCCGCCAACAGAAATGAACCGCAACAACTTGTTCCGACGCAGTTTCTCTATCAATTCTTTGCGGTTTCAGTGGAGGATAACTCCATCGCCGTATCGTCCGTACAAGCCAGAAAGAACTCCATGCACGACGATTCCCTGGAGTAAAAATAGAAAAAAATATATTACGTTTTCTTTCCTCTTTTCAGTTCCTCGCAATGTTCACATTATTAATATATGCACAGAGCATCCAAATGGGGGAGTCCAGGGCGAGCCCTCGTTATCCCACATTCATTCCATGCTGGCAAGAAGGAAGCGCTGCAAGCGTCTTTGACACCCCTCCCACGCAGGGTAGTGAGGGATGAGTGGGGCGGACTTCCAAAACAAGATGTAAAGATGTCTATTTGCCAAATAACCACTGGGACAGACCATTCCCCCCGCGGGTTTTCAAAAACAAACGGCCATCAATTCCCATCCATTCCGGAGCCCTTTCATTTCATCTTTATACGGCGCTGTTCTCTGCCTCGCTTTTTCCCACGATACCTCTTTCTGTTGCTCCCTCGCCAAGAAGCAAAAAAACAAAAAATAACAACAACAACAACATCGGACTTTATTACCACGAAGGAGCCACGCCGTTTAACTGTTTCCTAAATTCTGCTCACCCACTACCATCCACAGCGACGGCCGACACCAACACCGAAGTCCCATCTCTAGCACTGACAAGACCGTACTTGATGCGTCGTTGTTGCTCCTCGAACTTCTCCTGGTCTCTAGCCTGAATAGCGATACTGGCTGCCAGATAAAAGTAAAACAGCATGAGAAGACGGAAGGAGAGGGGAGACTCCATCAACATTTCCCTCAAGTTTTGTTTTGCTCCGCCAAGTCCAATGCCAAATCCCACAAGATTTACAATGGCTAGCTGCAGCATCATGGCACATGCACCAAGGGTGCGCAGATGCCTCCAGAGCAACGGTCGTCGTGCCATCATCAACGTAAGAGGAGCCCCCTGGCAAAATAAGACATGTGTAAACAAAAGCTCCACAAGAAAAAATATGCAAATAATACCGGCCCAATGTATCAGCCTAAGCTCAATGTCATGCCAAATGGCAATGAAGAAAAAAATCGGGAAGATATTGAGATGCTTCATCCTGTTCCCGCCCATTGGTATGTACATGTAGCGCACAATCCACAGATTAAACGATGCGTGCCAGTCACGCCAAAACTCCTGTATGCTCACAGTATTACTAAAGCACCGGCGCATGTCCTCGGGCACATCGAAGCCATCTAACAACGCTAAAAATCGAAAGAACTTCCATACACAATTGAACTTTAGCCATAAAAAACCAAGCTGGAGGTAGAACAAGATAGCTTTCCGGGGAAAAGAGATGGTGCTGAACAGTGAAGGAGTCATTATTATAGAAGTCAAATAAATGTAGTGCGCTGTTGTGGTGACAACCAAAAAACTAAATAGCGTGCGTAGACCGTAGCGTTGCAGCCCTTTCTCATTAATAGCCCGCGAAGGTTCCTTTAGGTAGGATACGTAAGCATTAAAAGACGAAATAGGGCCCGCGATGTAAAGTGGAGGATAAAAAATGTAACCAAGATAGCTCAACAGATTGTACTCGCGCACATCGAGTGGATACTCTGTGCGGAACTTATAACATCGCAAACCCCCAACTTCCAAACCAAATGGGATGGAGCCACCCCCCTTTTGAGCGTGTGCCTCACGAACCTGTGCACATTCTATACATGTTGCATCGTGTTTCTTAATGACCTTTGCACGTCGCTCTGAACTCTCCACAATGGCTTGATGCAGGTCCGTATTGAACGCTATCATACGAAGCACACTCATATTATAATGCACCGTCCATGGGAGGATTGGGGTCTTCAATTTGTCAAGAAACTGCAGTCCAATCCAGGCAAATTTGTACCCCCCCAAATAGCTGTTAAGAAAAAGTACGGCAACATGTGTTCCCCACATAATTGCCATAAACACCTTGAAGGGTACCCGATTGTGCAGCATATTCACACCGTAGAAGTTCCCAAAAAGGAGGATGACCGTAAATACAAAGCCAGGACCACTGACACCAAAGCCTATGAGCAAACCCGCAATGATGTGGAGCATATACAACGACCACAACTCATTTCCACCTCCAATCTTCCTAAGTCGCCGCGAAACGTGAAGAAAAAGCCCAAAGGCCGGAACAATGATGGGGAGCACCATCGTGAATTGATGCCACTGATCATCCCTGACATCCATGCCCTTTGAGCCCAGCCAGCAGAAGGGTGGCCACGCGGGCGCAAGACCATTCTCAAGCAACTCGCTGTTCCAATACGAGATCCCTCCAATGTCAATCACAATGAAGTACAGAACCGCCAAGCCAAGTGTCAAAGCGCTAAAAAGATACTCAACTGAGTTCTTTTGGAGAAATGCTGGCGCCTTTGCATTTTGGTCCTGATTCCTGGGTCTCTTTCTGGATCCATTCATCGCCCATTAAAGAATAAAAATAAAAATAAAAACGACACTTCTTCCCTCTCGTTTCCTACAAGGCGTATTGTAAACACGATGTACTTCGATGAGGCCTTGTCCCCTCCCTACACCTGCAAAACAACAACACCAATAGTGAAAAGACATCACAATGTTTGTTTCAATGCGCCCCACACGCCCTCTTTTCCCTACTTCAGAGGGGATTTATTCCGCACCCGTAGGCACACACACTCGTCGAACTACTAATAAACAAGGCAATCAATAACGTTAGGGTTCATTTTTTTTTCTTGTGTGTGAGGTCACCATGTGACCATCGTTCATTATTCGACGACCGCTTGGCTCTGCCGTCTGAAATGCATTCTCTTTCTCTCTCTCTCTCTCTCTCTATGTGTGCGTGACAGGAAAAAATAAATAAATAACAGTTCCACCAGTTGCCTGCCAACACGCCTACTCAGAAAGTAAATTAATCAATAGCAAAGAGATTTCGTGTGGACAGGCCATTCTACCACTTGCAAAGCTCCATCGGGCCGCGCGTTCGTAACACAAACCTCCAACAAGAAAAAAAACGCCAGAAAGGAAGAAAAAATCATTATAAGCGCACTGAATACATCGAAATAAATGCTAAGTGACCGCGGGCTAACAAATATAAGCAAACACATGAATGCGCGTCATTGTTTGAAGTCAGTAAAAAAATTCACAAGCCTTGCATTTCAAAGCCCCACGGGTTTCGCTCCTTTTTTTTTGCCCTTTGTTTTTTTTCTTAGGCACCAGCGGAAATTCCGTATCTTTTCTTTAACCGAAGCAATTCTGCTGCTTCCGCATCACGGGTAATAATGCCTGCCGCCGCCGCACAATACAAAAAAACCACAAACGCGACATAAAAGAGAGGGCCGGCCGACAGTAAGCTGTTTGAAATGACATTGTCCATCTGGCGCTCGTTCGATTTGTACGTTGGAGAAGAGAATCCGATTAGGTTTGCCACGATCAAACCAAAAACAGTGAATAAGCCACCAAAGGAGCGGATGAAACGCTGATACTTGGAGCGGCGTAGCCAGGCAAAGCGAGAGGAATGCCACACTGAACCCACAACAAGCTCCAAGACGAAAACGGTCAGGATACACACCGCCCATTTCACCAGATGAAGTTCAACGTCATGCCAAATGGCAATAAAGAAAAAAATCGGGAAGATATTGAAATGCTTCATCCTGTTCCCGCCCATTGGTATGTACATGTAGCGCACAATCCACAGATTAAGGGAGGCGTGCCAGTCACGCCAAAAGTCCTGTACGCTCACAGTGTTAGTAAAGCACCGGCGCATGTCCTCGGGCACATCGAAGCCATCTGACACCGCAGCAAGGCGGCTGAGCTTCCACACCAGGCTGAATTTTAGCCAGAGGAAAGCCAGGCAATAGTAAAGCAGCGACGAGCTCTCGAAAACACTGAGCTCCCAAAAAACTTCTGGGCGCATACGAAAAGCATTCACAAACGTAAAGTGAAGCATAAAAATAAGCGTCAGATATAGGGTGAGAACGCGCAGCGCGTAAAGGGCCATCTGCCTTCGCGGCATGGCGACAGTAGTGCAGTGGCAGTGCGACGCAAAGGCGTTGAAGGACGACATGGGGCCAGCTACATACAGTGGAATATACAACATGTATGCAATGTAACTCAACAGATTGTACTCACGCGGATGGCATGAACTCTCCGTGCGGAACCTGTAACAACGTGTGGTGGGAGAGTTTTCATCGCGGTTGGCTTCCCGCATCTGCGCACACTCCAGGCAGTTTGTATCGTGCTTACGCACCGCCCGCTCCCGCTGCGTCGGACCATCCCTAAACGCTTCATACATGTCCATGTTGAATGCAACCATACGGAGGGTGTACATATTGAAGACGACCGTCCAGCGCAGTTTTCTACTCCACATTGAATCTGATGCGGATTGGAACACCGACATCATCTTTTCGCCACAGAATCTAACGAGAAACAACAGCGTTAGCTGTGACAACCACATGACTGCCATGAACACGCGGTAAGAGACACCAGAACCCACAAAGAAAACAACAAATCCATAGTTCATCAGTGCGAGTGTAAGTGGAACGCAGAATTCCGGTCCATGGAGAAACGCAACAAAGCAAACACCTAAAATGCTTTGGTAAATGTGGAGTGCACGTACCCCTATTCTCGCAAAAAACGCCCAACGAATGACACGAGATCCCATCGCAAAGCAAGTGTACAGCGCAATCAAGAGCCAAAACCATCTGTCGAGGGCTTTCCATTGGGCATCACCCAAACCATTGTAACCAACGGAATTGAATGGCGGCGTTGACAACCATTTCCATCGCGGGGGTTGAACATAATGCCGTCCAATGTGTACCCGCGACGCCTCCGAAACAATAATGAAGCCAGAAAAAATGGCACCTACCAGTAAACTAGCATATAAAATATACTCTAAAGAAAGGCGAGATTTCACAAGATCAGAATTGTTTTGAGCCGGACAGCCATTGGCTTCATTCTCTAACGTCTCCTTCGTCAAAGGCACCAGAGTGGACACCTCCAAGTGGGCATCCGCAACCTGCAAGGGACTACGTCTGAGCATATTAGCGCAATTTTTTTCCTCACTCATTTAAATTTACAAGAAAAGACTTTCGCGAAAAAAAAAAGGCCAAGGTGTTGTATGCCATTTTCATCGGTCACCAAAATTTCGCAGCGGGAAAGGAGCAAAGAAATCAAAAAAAAAAAAAAAAAACAGCTGTCATACACAATTACAAATTCACTTAAACTCACCTTCCCAACACCTCTTTCCCCTATTTCCCAATGTCAAATAAAAACATTTGTATGTGCGAGAGAGGGGCAAGGTAAACAACGGAGAAAGTAAGGAACAGAAAGAGCGTTACTCACCATTTCCTCAAAGCGCCTGTTCTGCCTCCATTTGCTCCTACGGCCCAATTCTTTTCCCATGCGCCGGCGTTAAAACAAATAATGTCTTCTCCAGAAATGGCGAGAAAAAACTATGGGATTGTGAACACAAAACAGCCAGGAATGGCATTAATGGACTGCTATGTGCCAACAGAGCATCTTCGTTGGGCAAAAGGTCCTTAAGAACGCCACCCTGCACAAGTTTAGAGGTCTCCAGAAAAGGTTTCAACGTGGTCCTCATGTTTTCCAGCGACGCCAGTGGCGCGAGCGACGGAAGGACGCGATTTGCCTGCCGATTGCTTTGAATGTGAAGAGGGGCTCACATGTGGCGCGGTACACCGGCGCTGGCAAAGACACGGCGGCCAAACATGCGGCAGTGACTATTAATATATGAGGCAAAAAACTTCCCCACGGTGGCGAAGTACAGGTCAGCCAAAAAACAGAGAAAAAAAGAAATAACAAAAAACAAACAAGCACTTCAATTAAACCCTCTCCTCGGCTCATTCAAAGAGTGCAGCCGCAACACACAATTGGGGATGACAGCCTGGCTCAATGCACTCAACATGCTCGCACACCCCAAAAGGGAATTCACTCCACACTCATGCACACACACAAGAAGTGGCA